GATATGAAGTGCTCCACCAACGCAGGCAGCACCATATCCGGGCATGCAACAAAGTACTTCCTAACGGCAAGCCCCCCCCCCGCCATTCCCCACCCCCATTTCGCATGTTTAATATGGGCCTTAATTTGGGGGGAGGGGCTTAATTTGATTTTATGCCAATAAATCATGCTGGGGCTTCCTATTGGTGGAGGCCGTATTGTTGGAGAAACACGGTAATAAATTCACAATCCAATCCATCAGACTTCTTTAGTAATGTTTAACTTTGTCAAAAGTTATTTTACATTTTCCATCCCTGACTTTTAAAGTAACATCCTGCACAACAAAAGCAATACAGAATAACATTCTCCTTGCTCTTTCTCCAGGTTTTATTGCAAGTTCGGCTTTTTAAAATATAGCTGTTTAATAACTTAAGTATCTAAACCCTATCCAGAAACCTAATTGCTAACTAAACATTGTATTCATATAATTACAACCAGCCAAGAATTTATTCTGGCCCTACTTAAATCTAATCAATATTTTTATAATCAGTTAAGTCAGAATTGAGCCAAAATATCTGATCTAGCCTCAGGCTTTTCATTCTTTTATCCTTCATTTAAAGATACATAAGGTTAATGGGTACTTCACCACTATTGGTTCTCTTCCACAATAAATGTTAATGCTTTTGATCAGTTTCTTAATTAAGGCTGGTATAAAACGTTCCCCGTTTTTTTTTTAAATGTAACTTTTTTAAAAAGTTATGCGTGAGAAAAAAATTATCGATTTTTAAAAAATAATTTCAGAATTATTGGAAGTTATCAGAAATCTGAACAATTCAACAGAACTGCAAAAATGTTTCAAAGGGGGGATGAAATTAACTCGTTTTATAGAATAGATCCGTGGGTCTTATTGGGGCTTCAGACCGCAGAAAGCCACAAACTCTGGCTTAACGGACTGCAGTCATTGTTTGCAGGTAAACCATGGGTTTGGCTTAACCTTGTGTGGAAATCCAGCCAACTGCAGTTTGTTTAATAATTCACGAATTACGGCTCAGCATGATGGATGGATCTCATCCCTCACCCACCCACCCCCGTCCAAGCACTTTTAATTTAAAATTATTTCACCGAAACCGAGGCAACTGTGCAGGTCCCTCGGACCGCTTGCTACCACACTGAGGAGGAGGGGGGGTGGCAGGCATTTTGGGGGGAGAAGGAGGAGGACCGCAGGGGCCACTCCCGCTGTGTTTTCTGGGCGGAAGCGTTACCTGCACAGGTCGTCCAAGACGCTGCCGGGAATCTCAGGGCGTTTGGTCTCCATGGAGAAAGAGCGCAGCTCATCCCGGCGCAACGAGGCCCGAAGAGCGCACGACGCAGGCCTGAGGGGCAAAACCAAACGGGGCGAAGAGAGCCAAGGCGGGACCTCGCCGATTCCATCCCATAGGAAAGAAGGGGGCTTCGGGAGAACCAATCGGATCCCTCGACGTTCGAAGGGGCGGGTTGAGAAGAGATCGTAGCCAATCATCGTGACGTAACCAAGAAGAGAGCTCTCTGCTATGAACGAGCGATCCAGGAGGGCAGGCGGTTCACTGCCGCCAGCGGCGGGGCCGGGAAGGAGGACGGGGTGTTTTGGGGGTCGATCCCGCGTCTTTAAAAAAAAAAAAAAAAGATTACGGATTACAACCTCTTGCAGTTTTTACCTCAGAGTTCTTCCCCGTGGTCTGGCCACCGGCTTTGCGCATGCTTTGCATCGTAGCGTAGTCCCCGAGGCTGAAGCAAAGCCACAAAGAGTCCTAGTTAGCCGTTTAATTCCCCAATACTGTAGCTTGTAACTTAAAGCTGGATTCATGAGGTCCCGGCTCTGTTCCTTTTTTCTCAGAGTGATCCTGCTTATTTGTTTTAGTGATTGTGTCCATACAAGACACCCATGCTTAACTTAATGGTGTTTGCTGAATCCAGTTTTGTGGATTCAGAAAACCGCCCACTTAAGTGGATAGTTTGCTACACCACGTCTTATTTCTAGTTTGGTGTCTCTTCTGAAACGACCCAACGAGGATCCCAAAGGTGCTTTCCCCCCCCCTTCAGTCAGAACTGAAGAAGCTTCTTGGATAAGAAGTGAAACATCTTCAAAGAGAAATCAGAAAGTCCAGTTGCCTCTTGGAGAGAAAAAAGTACTTTTGGGACAATCATGACCTGGATGACATTTACCCAATGGGCATAGCTGATCCAGGTGCTGGCCCATTCTAGGATGCTGAATTGCTATATTAGTGTCCCTAGCTCTTTTTAATAGACTATATATGCATTAGGCAATAAAAAATACATCAACTGGGATTTCATTTTTTTCTTTTTTTTGCAACTCCACAAAGGAGTTTTTACCTTTGAGCTACTTTAAAAGTGGGTATTATAACACTTAATATCATTCTGGCCATCTAAAGAAACTTGTCACTAATTGGATGAGTAATCATATGGGATTTTCAGAGAAGGGCTGTGTAAATTGTAAATGTATCTCTGAGTCCCGTTATGTTCAGTGGAAACAAGATAGGTGCCAATAGATTTGCAATCTAAAATTGAAATTCTAGATGGAAAAAAATGAAATTCTACTGGGAAATATGCCCTCCTGAACATAATGGGTGACTCATACTAATATACTTATTTCAACCATGGCTTATTCATCCCTGTTTTTAGAACTTTAGAATATTAAAGAAACAATATATCTTTGGGATAGATGTTACAATGTTAATAATACTGTGGTGCTAGATAAAGTTTTTCCCCTATCTGATTACAATATAGTATTACATAGTATTTTAAATGTATGTTAAACAGTGACTATAAATTCTATAGATTATAGATTAAATTTTTAACTCTAATCCCCTTGGTATTGTTATTTGTTAAATTTTGCTATTTTTCAGGATTATGGGAGGTTTTTTTTCTCTCCCCCTCTTTTAATGATTTAATTCTTTTTTTTTTTTTTTGACTGATAAGACTGTTACTGTTTCTGTTTTGATATTCTGTTTGTTGTACTAAAATGATTAAAATAGAAAAATGATGTATATAATAGGCATATAATGAATCAATAAAAAGAGCAAATCTTAAAGAACTAACCGCTGAACTGTTGCCATCTGTCATGTCTTTGGTATTTATTTGTCAGGAACTGTGGCCATGTATGTGTATACCATCTGCTCATAATTCTGTCCCTTATATAAATAGAAATTGCTTTTGTTTCTTCACAACATTTAAACATCTGTTCAACAATTCTTAAACTGCAATCAACACTGAGTTCTCTGTGTCTGAGAAAGATACTGTCTAATTTGAAGTTTTATTTGTGCATAATCCAGTTCAAAAATGGGAAGCCAAGCAAGACAATTTTGTGTCAGCCAGTCTCTGATAATGTAAAGGGGTTCATGCATATATTATAGATATCAGGAGAGGGGTTGTCTAAATATAATTGTGCCATGAAGACTTCCCTGAAATCTTTAAAACTGGGATTCTAGAATCTATACGGCTTTTGCTGAGATGGACTTATGAAACGGACTGATTCTGTTCAAATCTTTTGTAGTACTTTATAAATGTAAAAGAAGAGAGTGCAAAAATTGGCTTGAAATTCAACATTAAAAAAAAAAATTAAGATCGTGGCATCCAGTCCCATCATTTCCTGGCAAATAGAAGGGGAAGAAATGGAAGCAATATCAGATATTATTTTCTTGAGCTCCTAGATCAAATCAGATGGTGTCTGCAGCCAAGAAATTAAAAGATGCTTGCTCCTCGGGAGGAAAGCTATGGCAAAATCTAGACAGCATATTAAAAAGCAGAGACATCACCTTACTGACAAAAGTCTGTATAATCAAGGTTATAGAGGATGGGTAGATGGCATTATTGATGCAATGAACATGAATCTTGGGGACAATGGGGGATGGGAGAGCCTGGCATACTATTGTCCATGGGGTCGCAAGTAGTTGGGCACAACTTAACAATTGACCAACACTACTTGTGAATATACCTGTTTCACAGACATTCACAATACTGCAGGCTACCAGCCTGACAAAGAGTATGCATCCTAACATTAGTAATTCTGGTATATGATGAAGTATGGAATGTGGATAAAAAGAGATTGGAGCTTTACAAAGGGAGACCCAACAGATCCTGCTAGAAATTGACGAGGCCTATAGAATTCAAATGAGCTACGCTCGACGTAACAGGTTACCTAGGGAAGTCCACATGCGATTTGCCAGGAAACAAGTACATGACATAATATACAAGATAACACAAGATGAAACATTGGTCTATAAAGATAAAAAAGTGCAAACTCTGAAGCAGGTTCCCAAGAAGGTGAGCGAACAGAGAAAAGACTATAAGTTTTTGGCAACAGAACTCATCCAGAAGAACGTAATGTTTCAATGGTTAATTCCAGAAGGCTTGTTGGTAACATGGCAGGAAAAGAGGATCAGGATAGATAACTTAGACAAGGCGCAAGATTTCTATGAGCAGATTGGAGGAACAGAAGAAGAAAGCAGTGGTAGAGAGGAGCTAGAGACAGAAAGCCAAGAACAACAACAACAGCAAGATACAGGAGGCCTTGAACAAGAAGGAGAGAACAAGGAGGAGACTGAAGGAAGAAGATTAAGAACACGCCGGCAAAGAGAGACTAGAATTAACAGAAGACAGATAATATCCCACAAGTAGAAAGACGGAAACGGAAACGAAGCTATTATCATTAAACATAAATGGTCCAAACTCACCCATTAAAAGGAAACAGATACTATCTAGATTAGCCAAACAGAAATTAGAAATAGTATGCCTGCAAGAAGTCCATATTAAAAAACAATTCTGGAAATGTTTAGAATATCCTAAATTAGGAAGGTTATTTGTAGCCCTGGCAGATCAAAAACAGAAAGGGATAGCAGTATATGTTAAAAAAGAAATTAAGGCAGTAGAAAAATATCTAGACCCACAAGGGAGAACTTTGATACTTGAATTAGAATTAGGGTACAAGCCAATGTTATTATAATTTATGCGTCGAACTACAACCAAAGCCAATTCTATAAGGATTTACATGAGATAATTGTTGAGATGGAACAAGATAATGTATGCATTGTGGGAGATCTTAATGCAGTAGTAGATATAAAGAAGGATTATTTTGGTAATGTAAAGCAGTGATCCCCAACCTTTCTTATGCCGCGGCCCGGTATCCCCAACCTTTTTTATGGCGCGGCCCAGTACCGGCATTAGCTGGGCGCCGCCATCTTTTTTTGATGAAAAAGTGCTTCTGGTGACCTTACCGGAAGCACTTTTTCATCAAAAAAAGATGGCGCCAGCGGAAGCGCTGGCGCCGCCATCTTTTTTTGATGAAAAAGTGCTTCCGGTGAGCTTTCTACCCGGAAAAGCTCACCGGAAGCACTTTTTCATCAAAAAAAGATGGCGGCGCCCAGCAAACCAGCGGCCCGGTAGGACTTGTTCCACAGACCGGGACCGGTCCGCGGACCGGTGGTTGGGGACCCCTGATGTAAAGAACAAAAAGAAAAGGAAAATTTTGCCCAGATCTTTTTTCAATATGACACAGGAACTAAATTTGATGATCAATGGAGGAGAATAAATTTGGAGAAAAAAGAATTCACATTCTACTCTAATCTACACAAATCATGGTCTAGATTAGACATGGCATGGATGAACGCAGAACTAGGAAACCAATTAGATAAGGTAGAGATTATGACAAATGTATGGCTGATCATAACCCATTAAAAATAATTTGGAAAGGAAGGAAAAAGAAGAGTAGAAGGTGGATACTTAATCCCCAAATCTTAAAGGAGAAAGATTTTGTAGAGAAAATTAAAAAGAAATGGAATTTTTTTTTAAGGAAAATACAGTGGAGCAAACATCATTACAGAATATATGGGATACAGCAGTCTTGAGGGGGCTGGCAATAGCATACAGAGCGAAAAGGAATAAAGAAAGATGGCAAAATAAGAATAAACTAGAGGAGGAGATTAAAGACCTAGAAAGTAGATTACAAAAAAAAAAGATGAAAAAACGAGGAGAGAAATGATTCTTACTAGGCATAAATTGAACATTATAAATCAGGAAGAGAGAGTCAAAGAGGTGAAAAGGGCAAAACAGATTTTTTTTGAACATGCAAATAAACCAGGGAGGTGGTTAGCCCATAAATTAAGATTAGAAAAAGAAAGAAGGTTGATACAAGAATTGGAGGATGATGAGGGAAAATTAGAATACCGAATGACTAAGAAAAATAAAATAGTACAAAAATATTTCGAACAACTATATAGGGAGGATGGAATACACCCTAAGAGGATAGAACAATATTTGTCATGCCCCTGGTGGAGTTTGACTCTGAGGAAGAGGAGGAACAGCCAACAGGGAGTGGGAGTGTGGCTCCAGAGGTGGTGG